GCTTTCGTCCTTATTTATGGGCGTGTGGACTCCACCCACCTTCATCGTATCCGAAATGTTGTTCCCTACATTAAGATACATACATTAGTCGATATTTTGTGTATCTACCTGTTGCACTTCTCCATAAATAAGAGGATTGGTTCCTTTAAAACTGCTTTCGTCCTTATTTATGGGCGTGTGGGCTCCACCCACCTTCATTGTATCCGAAATGTCGTTCACTACATTAAGATACATACATTAGTCGATATTTCGTGTCTGTACCTGTTGCACTTCTTTATAAATAAGAGAATTTGTTTCTTTAAAACTGCTTTCGTCCTTATTTATGGGCGTGTGGGCTCCACCCACCCTCTTTGCATCCGAAATGTCATTCCCTACATTAAGATACATACATTAGTCGATATTTCGTGTCTGTACCTGTTGCACTTCATAAATAAGAGGATTTGTTTCTTTTAACCACTTACCTTCCTTCATGGGGGTGCACTGCCGAATAAACCCTAATTAATAAGTGGCACAACTACCTGACTCGGAAAGTCGGGGAGGGTGTGCTGTTGGGCGTGGCTTACTTCAACCACACCCCGCAATGAAACACCTCCCACGTTAATTGGGGGGTTTGAAGCCCCGCCTATGGGAGGAGCCTACTGATTAAATGCGGGGGTGGTTTTGGTAAACGCACGCATCACACTGCAGTAAACCACAGTGGAAAAGGGGGGGAAGGAGGGGAAAGAAGAGACGGACTTGCAGGACACAAGAGTGCAGATAAGCCTGCAAGACTGGAGAGACTGGCTTGAAATGCTTCAGCAATGCTTCAGCACGAATGAATGCAAACCGCAGTCTGCCGTGACCTTGATCGGGGCTTATATAGGCTGGGTAGGTGTGGTTAACCCCGCTTAAAGCTCCGCCCTAACCGGCAATAAAATGTGCTTTTCTCCATATTTATGGGTGTGTGGACTCCACCCACCCTCGTCGTATCTGAAATTTTGAAGACAACATACATTAGGATCAAGAGACTATTGTTGTACCTGTTACTGATGTAAGCTCACGAAACATTAATATAACATACCGTACATTAGGATCAAGTCAAAGAGACTGCTCTTATGCATAGTATGTCAAAGGAAGAACCTTCAATTCAAAAACAGAATGAGAAACAGAAAAGACTTGCAGTAAGCTTCATTCAAAGATGCTGTGCATGAATTTATTATACAAAATAGAGTAAAGAAACTAGCACAGATATAGGAGAAATGGTAAACTCACTGTAAACACACATATTATTCAACCACACAAACTAGAGTGATGAAGATGTACTAAAAATAGTAAAAGTGGAACGTTCAGAAACAACAAAGAGTCAGGATGCTGTAAGTCGCCATTGTGAATAAGAGGCGGTGGTCATATGTAAAATTAAATATTTTCCCGCTTTATTGGTTACTTTCAAAAATTAGAATGGTGCATTCAAGTA